CGACACCCCCGGTGGCGGCAGCGGGCGCTTGGGGCTGCACTGCGAGCGGGAGCTGCCCGCCCCGACGGCTGCTCGGCCTCTCGCTGCCCCTCAAGATCCCCTCAAGCGGGGCTGGGAGCGGAGGAAAAGTCCGGGCTAAGGGCAGAGGGAAGGGGCTGGCTGGGGCAGAGCTGAGGTGAAGTGCTTTCCAGGCCACCAGCCCTCACCCTGGAGAGTTTTGGCCACCCACTTCCTTCTTCCTAGCCCCAGCCAGCTTCTGGAAATGTCATAGGATTAACTGGAGAAAGGCTGGGGCCTTTGAGGGGAAACAGCCAGCCCCTCACCATATCAAATCCTATGTGAGCGCTGACGGCCTGGGCATCCCCTTTTTTTGCCATCTCTGGCCCCCAGTCTGTGGGCAACTCTCAGCCATGGATTGTACTGGTGTTCTCCCCACCCCAGCACAAGGGTGCGTTCCAGTCCTGCTCAGGGTATAGGAGTGCTGGGGGATCCTTTGCAAGGAAAGGCACTAAGAAAAGAGGTCTGATGTGGCTCTCTTCTTAGTAGTTCTCAGCCTACCTGTCTGTTCAAGGGACCTTTCCCCAAGACTCTGCAGACACTGGAGGTGTTCATTTCCTTTGCACTGTCACTGGCTGGGCACATCATGAGATGCCTCGGTGTCTACCTACAAATGCAGTTCTTCTGCAAAGTCAACAAGAGCTGAAGGAACAGGACACCTTAGCATGGAGATTGATAGGCCCTGCCATTACACAGTCAAGAAAATGTTAAAGACCCAGTAGGTCACCTCATTTATCTTCCCAGGTAATACAGATTGTTCCCTGAATTCTCTTCCTCCCTTGCAATGTAGTTCAAAATGGCTCAGGTAACTTCACTCTACTAAAACTCTACCAAAATTTTCTCCTTCATAATTTCATCTCAGTACTTACATTCTCCTGCATTACATGAAAAAATGAAGGAATTCCAATAGGAAAAAAGAAGATCACAAAGTTTTGCTGAAATGCTCTCCATAGATCGCATATAGCAGACAAGGACATGCGACTAACAGATAACTAAATTAGGTATTAAGTGTCTCTGGCTTTAGTTCTTCCTACTATATAAAAAGCCATAAAACTATACAGTTTAAGTGTAAATTCTTGATAGCAGCAAGAGAATGAGCCTGACACTGTGGGATCTTTGCATAAAACTACAGTTCCAGTATAAATTGGAAGAGGTCATTTTAACTGATAGGATTTAGCTCTCTAGTTAATCCAATAATAAATTGGAAATTTAAAAAGCAAATCAATTTATTAGCCCTCTCTGTCCATCTCTCTAATTTACCTAAAGAACAAATTAATCTCTTCTGTTGCAGATTTTTCGCTGTTACTTTGAAGTATGGCAAACACTGCAGGACTCCAGTAAAGGTCAGTATCCTGCTACTCACAGAAACAGAGTTAACTAGAGAAGTAGCATGAGCATGTTTGTCTGCCACAATCAAAAAACAGGATTAGTTTTTGTTTTAAAAACCTTGCCAATGTCCCTTTCAGTCACCTGAATAACACTACAATCATTTTATATTTCTGTAAGATTTTCCATCACTGGTGGTAATTTTTGCCTTGGGCAATGTTATGCAAATTTGGGAGTTTAGCAGTATTTCCTACTGAAACAAGTCTCTAACTATACACATATCATAAAAAAAACAAGCAGAAACAGTATTCTCTCACATGCTGTTTCTTCATATTGATTTTACTAACTTCAGATGCTTTATCTTTGATTTATTTTTCCATGGGCAAGAGCTAATACATACTTAGAGTTTAGATGGCAATTACTGCAGAATAGAAGAAACAACAGAAAAAGAACAAAAGTCAAGTCTCATTGAAAAGCACATGAAATGTGTTTCCTCTGAGCAATCTACAGCAGTTCCAAAGAAACTACATTTGAACCTAGTATATTGATATTTAGAGGCATACACAGGAAATTAGGGTGTGATGTATCACAGCTATCTACTCCATAAATTTCAATGAATATTATGATGGGAAAATAGTTATATATTAGTATAAAAGTATAAAGTATAAAGGTTCTCAGTCATTTGGTAAGATCTTTGTAGTACTCCAGAGAAAACTGAATTTTGCTTTGGGTTCATGCAGCTCCTCACCAGGGGAAATATGTATTATTAAATGAAAAGCTAAAATCCTAAAAAGATGACAAATCAAAATAGAGTTTTGTGAGTTTTACTCCAGTACCCTGTGGACTTCTACCTATGTTTTAAAATCTACTTCAAAACACAGCGCAATTGACAATCTGCTCAGCAAATATTCAGAACTGGAATGAGAAAAGGGTGAGAAAAGGATGTGCAAATTATGACGTGTTGGTGGAACTGTACAGAGGCCAAAGGCAGGAATAGCAAAGACGAGACAGCTACATGAGGGTGATAATGCACAGTACTTTCCATACCATTCCAAGCTCTTAACTTTCTTACACCATAAAGTCTTGTCCAAATTATCTTTAAAAAGTCACTGTAGCAGTAGTACCATTACCTTACAAGACAGTCACTTATAAAGTTAAAACAGCATGCCTGCCTGGTCTGGACAGTTAAAAGGGTATAAATCCTTACATAGGTATCATTTAGGAAGGAGAATCAGGAATACTGACATAATGCATCTTTGTAGGTAATAGCTCACATAATCCTATAGTCAGGGCATTCACCAGATCAGAGGCTCCTTTCTCCACTACAGACTTCTTTTGTCATGTTGGGCAAGTTACTTAGTGACTGCCATATTTTCCTCCTCTGTAAAATAGAGATTATATTATTTTCTTACCTCTCAAGAATGCTGTGAAAATAAATACATTAAGAATTGTGAAGGGCTCAGATAAAAGGGTAATGGGGCCATATACTGTACCTAGACAGATAATTACTGCATCTGCCTAAGGAATTTTACTGATGTAACTATATCAGTAGTAAATCTTACATATAAAGATAGTATACAAACTGTGTGCAGAAGTAAGACATACTGAGGTAAACTAAACTGACAAAATAAACTGTGTTAAAAGACTTTTTTATGTTCACTAGGGCTTTTCTAGATATGCAACAGATTGAATGCCAAAGTATTATCCCCAGGATTCAATTCACATTGCTTGAGATGTTATACTTTTACTTCTCTTCAGTTTTGCATTCTGAAGCTTCAATGTATGCTTGCATAGGGAATATTATTTGTAAATATTTTCATTATAAATAATGGTTACTGACTTGACTTTAAATCTTTTCTATTTCCAGAACTGAAGCATGCAGCTTGGTAAACGCCCCCGAGTGGCTTGAATTTCTGGCCTCAATAAAAAACAAGATCAAAAGAAATGCAAGGATGCCTGTCCTAGAAAAACACACCCAGAAGATAGAGAAAAATGCATGCAGCAAAGATGAGACTGTAAGTGATTGATTCTAGACTAAAATAGGGAAAACATGATTGCGTATAGCAGTACTATAAATGAAATTCACTGGTAAATACAAGCACTACTCCAGAACTCATTTCTTTGTGGGGAAGCATTGGTATCCAGCAACAATCTAGCATCAGGAACTTCGATGTATTATCAGTACTTTTCATATTCAAAGCACAAACATTAATTCTTCCTCACACACCCCTGAGAGGATTAGTAGTTAGTTAAATATGACAATCTCCATTCTGCACTGGAGAAGCTGAGACACAAAGGTTCATAATAACCGAGTCTGAAAAGACATATGTATTCATTCTTTTTTGTACAGGTCTATCAAAAAGTTCACACACGACCCATTTGCAAGAGAGCTGGGTAAAAATGTTAAAATAAAGAATTGATTAATTGCATTGGGAAATTTAAGCTAAAAATGTGTTAATTAGATGCATGCTATTGTGTTTAGATGTGCTAGTATTAGTTACGATATCCAACCAGTTAAAGTTTCAGTAAAGCAATGGAATTAACAGCAATACACCTTATAAAAAATACAGCCAAACCAGAGGTAAAACTTTATCAATAAGAGATAAAGTTTTGCATACTCATCACAACTGACCTACTAAATTTCTACAAGAAGAGGTATGCTCATGTTGTGCATGAAACAGACAAAACCTTTTTACACCTATACACATGTTCTGTGGCAGAGCGGGGTGCTTTAATTAGAGTGACTCTTATAGCCACTCTAATTAAAGGGCCCACAGCATCCCATGTATTCAAAGTCCTGTTCTTCAAATGGCAGCAGGGGTGCTTTAACTAAAGCTCATTCAATGAGCTTTAGTTAAAGTACCCCCACCACCATTTTGAAATGCAGGGACACTGAATATATGTGGTGCAGCGGCTACTGGAGCGTGCTAATTAGCATGCTCCCGCAGACTCACAACATAATTAATCAAGTCTGCTCTGATGTGCGCTAATTAGCGCGCATTGGAGCAGACTTCCGTCACATGTATAGGTGCCCTTAAAGAACATTTTATTACTTTTTAATATATGATACACTCAGTGCCTTTCAAGCTAAGCTGGCCCTTAAAATCATACAATCATAGAAAATTAGGAATGGAAAGGACCTTAGGAGGTTATCTAGTCCAACCTCCTGCTCAAAGCATCCCCAACTAGATCATCACAGCCAAGGCTTTGTCTAGCTGGATCTTATAATCCTCCAAGGATGGAGATTTCATAACTTTTCTTGGTAACCTGTTTCAGTGCTTTACTACCCTCCTAGTGAGAAAGTTTTTCCTAATATAACCTAAACTTCCCTTGCTGCAGCTTGAGACCATGCTCCTTGTTCTGTCACCTGCCACCACAGTCTAGGTCCATTCCTCTTAGGAATCATCATTAATGTCAAATAATTAATTTCATTAGACTCCTAATACTGCTAAAACTATTATCAGTGTTTTACAAAGGGGAAACTAAGGCAAAATGATGATCCTTACTTGGTGGCTTTGACTATTATTGGAGTTCAGATATCCTTGGTTCCCAGTTTTGTTGTCCAGAGCACACCTCTTGTCTAATGAAACAAGCTTGCTATACAGGAATTTCTAGTATACTGAATGGGGTAAAAAATCTGAAGTTTGCATGTTAATGAAAAAATAAATAAATACCTATTAAAAGGAGCAGGACCTCACAGACATTGCACCATACAATAAATACTAATAGATGTGTATAAAGAGCTCTGATGCAGATATATCCCTTTCTAAAAATGCACTTTGGATTTTCAGTACATCAGAATCCCACACAGTTTTTCTTTCTTCCATGATCCTTGTTTGTCTTTCCTACCAGCCTTTCTTCCCTTCTTTATTTTTAAATGGAAGATGCTATTTGTTGCAATTAATTCTACATTATAAAATAAAGAGATGCACAATAGGGCTGTGCGAAACAGCAGCATTCTGCTTCAACATTTGTTTTGACGTTTAAATGGAACAGTGTTTCATTTTGATTTTTGTTTTGTTTCGAAAACCCTGTTCTGTTCCATTTCATCGAAACGGTTTTGCTGTTTCAACATTGTTTCGACGTTTCTATCAGGCTGGGGAAGGGAACTCAGCCCGGCTCAGTTCCCCTCCTCAGCCCTGCGATCTGAGTTCCCCTCCCCAGTGCTGCAATGGGACTGGGCAAGGGAACTCAGCCCAACTCAGTTCCCCTCCCCAGCGCTGTGATGGAAACGGGGAAGGGAACTCAGCTCAGCTGAGTTTCCCTCTCCAGCACTGGGATTGGGCGGAAGAAGGAAACTCAGCCTGCCTCAGTTTCCCTCCCCAGCGCTGCGATGGAGCTGGGGAAGGGAATTGAGCCTAGGTGAGTTCCCCTCCATAGCGCTGTGATCAGGTTTCAAGTGGCTGGGAACTTGAAGCGATCAGGCTTCAAGCAGCTGCACCGGGCTTCAAGCGGCGGGGAACCCAGCCTGGTGCAGGTGGGCGTGGTGCAGCCCCTAGACAGGGTTCCCAGCTGCTTGAAGCCCAGGGGCTGCACCACAGCCACCTGCACCAGGCTGGGTACCCAGTGGCTTTCAGCCCCGTAAAACTCAGCCCGGTTCTGCCTGCCTCCTGCCACTGGGCTGAGCTCCGTGGGGCTGCTGGAGCCAACTGGAGTGCAGCCCAGCATCAGGAGGCAAGCAGAGCCGGTGCTGCTCTCTGATTGGCTCTGCCAGCCCCAGGGAGCGCAGCCCAGTGGCGGGAGGTGGGGAGAGTCAGGGATGTGCTCCTCACTGAGCTGAGCCATGTGGGGCTGCGTGGAGCTGCTGGGAGTGTGGCCCTCCCCTCCCTTGCTCACCACCTAGCTGGGCTGCTGCTTTGAAACTTTCAAAACATTTCAACTGGCCTCATTTCATTTCAAAGCTGTTTCGAAGCCCTCTGTTCCATTTCAATTTCACTGTTTCAAGCTCAAAACAAATTGAAACAGCATCGAAATGAAACAGCGAGCAAAATTTTGCACAGCCCTAATGCTCAATCCCTAAATTATGACAACAAAAGTAATATTGTTGGGAGCTGCCACTGATATATTATGGCATAGCCCAGTATTGCTCAACGTTTTGGCCCCACAAGCCATACAAGAGGCATGGGACAGTCTGCAGGCCAGATCAGACCCCATGCACCAGGACTGGACTCCAAGGGATCCATACTGGTCCTGCACACTGGGATCAGGCCCTGCACTGCCCTGCAGACCCAACCCAGTATACAGGGCCCCGCAGGCTGGATGACATGGGGCTAGATTGGGCCTGGGGCCAGGAGAGCACCCCTGGCATAGCCAACTAACTATGCTCCTCAATAGCTTCCATCCCATCAGATTGCATCAAAACCATCTGTAGCAGGACCTGGCCCCAGGGGTGGCCATGATACCTCCCAGTGGCTAACCTACTCCTGCCCCACTTCAGTTCCTCAGGTTACTCTCCCTTTTCTACCTCACCTGCCATGCCTCCATGGATGTTATAGTTAGGGACTTACCAACATTGTGGCAGAAGTGGGCTACATGGTGGCTCCTTTAATCTTGCAGTTTCCCCCACACCCCCTCCCCCTGCCACTGATTGGCGAAGAGGCCCCACTGCTCACTCGTGATAGGCAGGGAAGCCAAAACCGTGGTGCATGGTTTTTGCCTTCCACTGCTGATTGGTTGAGAGACCCCAGTGGCCCCACTGCTTGCTGTTGACTGGCCGAGAAGCAAAAGCCACACCATACTTAAAAACTGCGGCTTTTGCCTCACCACCGATCAGGTGAGAGCGGTGAGGCCCCTCTACCAATCAGTGGTGGGGGAAGAGGGTGGGTGAACAGGGGAAACTGCAAGATTAAACGAGTCACCGCACAGCCCACTTTCACCACAATTTCAGTAGGTCCCTAGTTATAGTACCTAGAGAAGCTGTCTCCTTAACTCTCTCAGGTAGTTTAGGTGCCTGCCAGTCTTTTTCCTGCAGCCTCTCTCCTTAGGAACTCCTTTCCCTGCAGCAAGCTGGACCAGATTTCCTGCTTTGTCTCTGGCACTCTGTTTATATGTCCCAAAGCACCACCCCTTCTGATCATGTGGCTTCCCAGTCACACACAGAGGTTTCCCCTTTTGTCTAGTGGCCAGCCTGCCCTCTGCCTAATCCAATTGGCTAATCCAGCTGCTTGCAGCCTTTACCTCTTGGCTGCCTAGAAGTAATCCTGCCCCTCGGTTGCTAATTGCAGTGCAGCTAGCTGCAAGGTAATCCCTCCCTAATGGTAGCTCCTATCCTTGCTGTTTCTGGTCTGTTCACTTTCAAACAGCTGGCCTTGCCCAGCAGCCTGCTTATACAGCAAGCCTAGCCTACTGCATTCTCCCTTCAAAGTAACAGGAGCTTCTGATTCCGTTACACCATCCCTGAAGCAACTCCTTTCAAGTGATACATTACAGTGACTCCCTGTTTAACCACCACAATGACAAAAGCAGTGCTAGTTAGAAATATATATGCTTGGCAGGATTCAATTTTTATCGCTAAACAACTATAAATGGCAATTTCACCTCACACCTACAGACAGATGGAAAATAAAGTATTTCCATTGGTAATAATTGACATTTATAGAAAGGGGACTCTAAGAGGGAACCTTTATCCCAGTTATTGGACAGTGAAGAAAGAGATGGAGGGCCAGAGGCCAGAGGGATTAAAGAGTAAAACAATGGGCGGCCTAATAACTCATCACTCAAGCAATTAGCTGCTGACTTACAGGTGGAGGAAGTAGGCTAGAGGGAGATAGGCCACTTAAAAAAACCCTACCCAAAGGAAAGACCCTACCCAGAGTGGGAAAGAGGGTAGAGCAGGGACGGGCAATTATTTCAGGCGGAGGTCCGCTTACTGAGTTTTTGCAAGCCATTGAGGGCCACATGACAGGCAGCCAGGGGCAGATAAATATTAATTTTCTAAATTTTTTAGGGGCTCCACAGGCCAGATAGAATGGCCTGAAGGGCCACATCTGGCCCGCAGGCTGCATTTTTCCCACCACAGCAGTTGTTCCCAATCTGTGGTATGCATACCACCAGCGGTATGCAGACAACCTGTCAGTGGTACATGGCAGCAGCAGGCAGGGGCACTTGTGCCTGGTGCATGTGCCCAGAAGGGCATGGCTTCAACCACTGCAGCATATCACAGTGAGCAGTCCCCACATGCATGTGCAGCGAGCGGTCCCCACACGCACTTGCCACGCACAGAAGGGAAGCCCCGTGCGCTGAAGCCACTGCCTTCCCTGGCGGGGCTGTGCAGCCCTGCAGGGTGGGGAAGTCAGCTAGCTCCAGCAGGCAGGGCTTCCCTCCCATGCCCAGCAAGTGTGGAGAGTGCTGGCAATAGATTGCCCAGTGAAGGATGAGTCCCTTGCTGCAATGTGCAGTGCTGGCCATAGCTGCGTCCCGCCAGGCACCCTGAGCACCCCCAACTGCTGCGCCATGGGGGAGTGCAGGGGGTCCCCACACTCTCCCCCACCCTCCATCACACCCCATAACCCCCCACATATACACAACCCCCCAACATACCCTATGCTCCCCCAGACTCACAGCCCCCCACACACCCTACCATACACCCCCCACACACCCCACCCGGTGGTACTTAAGGTTATATCATTTTAAATTGGTGGTGCACAATCTGTCAGAGTTTGGGAACCACTGGCGTAGAGTATTTGAGGCTCCAGCCTGGTGGCAATGGAGTCCTGCCTGGGCCAGGCCAGCAAGGGGTTGAGGGCAGCTGCTGCCTCTCCCAGTGTTTCCACAGCTCTGGGCATGTCGTTACTCTCCTCTTCTGGTCCCTACCTGCCTGACTCTTTCCTGATGAATGAATAGAATGATTTAAAGCAGGTATGATTTATTGATTTATGGATATTTGCTTTTTATATTTTGATGTGTGCTTTTATAAAGCTTTTAACAATATATTGCCATTACTAAGATTGTCTGCCCCCACACTCATAATTTCATGCAATCCTGAAATTTTAAATTGATAGAAATTGAAAATGCCCTAATTTTGTGCAATCCTGAAAACATTAATCAATAAAATCGTAATAAATACTTTAAAATACACATCAATTTTTAGCAGTCAAAATTATTGAAAAAATAAAAATCAAATTCTGTGAAGCCTAGAAATATACCAGTATCCTATTAGAACTCACTTATGCCACCCTAACCTGTTCAGATAAAGAAACTCCCACAAAGAAATCAAAGTTCTCCAAAAGGAAAGTTTTCCAATGAAAGTGAAACCTTTTCTGAAGGAAAAGGCAAAGCGGGGGCTGAGTGGTGGGGGGCAAATTGAATTGTACACAGGTTCTCAGGTTTAATGTCTCAATGCCAAGACCCATCCTGAATTCATATATTCCTCCAGAGTATTTACATTATGTCATGTATTTACACAAAAGCCAAAGACACTTCACAAATGTATAAAGTTACCATAGTTACCATTCTGTCTTTTTATCATTAGACATTGCCCAAGCTTCCTGTCCCTCCACTGCATCAGACCCTACACATGTACCTACAGTGCAATAAACACTTGATGCCAGAGGGGCAATTTAGGAAGACTGAGGCCATAGTGGAACAATTTGGAGGTGCAGAAGGCTTAGGAGAATTGTTACAGCAAAAACTTCTAGAAAGAAGAGAGAAGTCTGGAAACTGGGTAAGCAAACTGAGGATTTGAAAGAGAGTCTTGTGTTAAGCATGATTGTTTAAGAGTGATTTGTAAAGTTCTGCACATGATCATCGATTTATATGAAAAATTTTACTGTCAGGTCAGTCTGGAATCAAGTCCTGGGGTAAAATGTGAGAAAAAGTGCTGTGTGTTCTTATTTAGCTTTCACCACCTAGACCATATGGGTGGGATGTTTCCAAAAGGCTAGCAATATTTTTTTTTTAAGTATTAATGCTCATGTTATTGTTAGGTTTCCAGGTCAACATTTCATTAAGAAAAAAGCGAACGTGGTTTAGATATGAGATATTTGGTTTTAGAGTATCTGCAGACTATGGCAAACAACAGAATTTTGCATCCTTATGTGGAAGCTATTCATTACAAGCAGAAGGGCTTTTTAAGGGAAATTTTTAGGGAAATTTGGGTGGGGGTTCACTTTTCAAAGTTTAAGCCCTCATTGTTTTGTTTCTAAAGTTACCATGGGTATAATTTAAATCCTGATCTTGCAACTCCTTAGGTGTGTCTACATGTGCATGATATCATGGAGCTACACAGGGAACAGGGTCCCCATCCCCCACCAGCACAAAGCTCCCAGCCCCCACCCTGCAATTGGGAAGCAGGGGCTGACAGATACTTATCTCCCAACCCAAGCCTGATTCACGGGGCTTGGGCTGAGAGATATTGGTCTCTGAGTGCCAGCCTCATATCGTGGAGCCGGTGCTGACTGATAAGGATCTCCCAGCCCCCTGATTCCCAATTATGATGGCAAAGAGGGGGCTGGAAGATAAGGATCTCCCAGCCCCCCCTCTGCCCCTCCCAATCATGATCTCGGAGCAGGGGGATGAGAGCTCCCCGCTGCCGGGATAGGTAGATATAGTCCGCACCCAGGCTCTGGTGGCAGAGCCTGCCCCAGCAGCAGGTCCCAGGGGCAAGGAGCAATCTCCTGCCCCCTGCTGGCCGGCTGACCAGGAGCAGATTTGCTCCCAGTCAGGTGTCTACATGAGAGCTACTGAGCAGTAACTGATCACAAGTAAATTTGCTACTTGCATTTGCAGGTAGCAAATTTACTTGTGATTAAAGAAATCTACTACGGGTAAGCATGTGCACACGTAGACTCAAATGGTTACTGTGCAGTAAACTGCTGTACTGCGTCTTGTGTAGATGAACCCCTTGTGCACTAGTGAACTGCAAGGATTCCACCACCCACAACTATTAGGCAAGTCTGTACAAGCTCAGTATTCCATCTACATGCCATTAGCCATAGAAATAGAGCCTTAGACTACAAGTTCTTTGGGACTATTTCTTCTGTGTACTGCATCATAGGAAGCATATTGATGGTGATCAATAGATGATAATAAAAATGGCATCTCAGCAATATCAGCCAATTTCTCCATAAGGAAAGTCTATACTGCTGAAAATACAGTAAACATCACTCAGAACTAATCACATTTTATGGTGTATTCAAGGAATACTTTGTCATGGAAGAAATAAATAGAAAATATGGGAAATACTACCATATGATACTTGTTTAATTTTTAATGGCATGCACTGTTAATTGTCATTGATCGAATGATAAAAGTATAGATTTGTGGGTGATTTAGACTGAGGTGAGGTCACTGAGTCCAGACTGAAAGTCATCAATGGCTCCATTAATCAGATTTGATGCAATGCCACCAAACCATCATACAACAGAGACATACTGCTTATTATACTCGGCAACACATAGATATGTTGTCCTTTTTTGCTAGGTGTTGGACTACTGGTTGGATGACATGTATCTTAACAATCGGTTGGCTCTCCCAGTAAATTCCAGTCCAGTGGTTATCTTTTCTCATCAGTATTTCAAGGATGTAAATGACCAACTAAGGTAACGTCTTAAAAACTCTGAAGCTTTTGGTAATGAAAGAATACTTTAAAACTGCTACTCTGACAAAGAGACAATTAGCTTGTAAAATGAAATGAGAGTTCTGATCATCAAACTAGTCTCCACAACCTTCAGTGTCACTCGTACAGAAACACGAAGTCCAAATTATGCTTTTCACAGAGAAAATTGCCATCACATTTATCATTTTGAGGATAAATAAAAATACAAAATAAAATTGAGGAACTTTTAAAACAAGGAATATTTGTGAATCATCATAAACTGCTTATCAGGTGCTTCTCCTAAGCTTTAATGTACTCGATGCTGGTTAAAGTGAAATAGTCTCTAACTTGCTACACTTACAGCTCAGTGGGTGTATCTACGCAAGATAGTACATCATTGTAGCATCTAAAAATAACTGTGAGCAACCATGACTTTGCAGTACCGGTGGGTACTGCGTAGTTATTTAGTACTTGCTAAAGCACTAAAGCAAGTACTAAATGACTGTGCAGTACCAAATGATCAGTCAAGGGCACATGTAGATGTGCCCAGGGAGCTGTAGCAAAACCCTGTATATCAGCCAGGCTAGTCTGAGGTCTCCGTGCCATTTCAGAAGACAAAATGTGTTCAGTTTGGAGACTCCTGGACACTGATAAGTAGGGAAAAATGGAAACACAAAAGTTAGTATGCTGCCCAATCTCCCATCTTTCCCAGGAACCCTAAGGCTACACCAGCATGAAGAAAGGTTATTAAGGTTGCTAATATTTAAATCAATCTGAAACCAACTGGAAAGGATTAGTATCAACACACTCCAACAGTATGATTATAAACCACTGTTTTGGGGCCATTGATGAAGATAATATGCTCCCCACTACCCATATGCTGGGAGGGCGGGCCATTGTGTACTTAAGTCATTGCTCCCTGAAGGGCCACCATTCAGGTTATATTAGGATGTAGGGAGTCTGTAGCAGGAGTTGAATGGAAGTGGTGCAGGAGAGGGGCAATTCACCCCCGAGTATCAGGGGCAATGGGGACTGTATTTACACCCTCACTGCCAGACTGGCTAAGGCCATATTGTTTTTCTTGCTTTCCCCTCCAACATATCAGGAACTGTACTGAGTGGGTTGGGAGGTTAGAATTATGTCATTTCAAATTCAGTAGGTATCCACTACAGTTACTCATTGTATATGAGGTCTGATTCTCTAAAATGTTTAATTTAGAATCAAGGGCAAGACCCTAAGAAAGCTGGAAACAGCTGAACTGTCACATGACAATGCCATTTCATATGCGCTTGACCCAGAAATTCCCAAAGGGTGCGCAGTAGCTCATTACTACTGTGCAGTAGTGTCGCATCATGGTTAGTGCCTGCCAATGCTAGTGCACAGTAGTGTCTTGTGTAGAAACGCCCAGTGTTTGCAAAAACCTTGACCAGGAGTAATGCAATTACATTTTGATAATTTCTTATACCAAATATATAAACAATGTATACAAGCTCTCTAGAGACCTATTACTTCAAATAGCATCCTTATTCAACCACCATTTTTTTTAGTTGACCATATTCCTACATGGAGATATGAGAAGTTACATTTATTTTAAAAAGTAAAAAAGTAAAAACTAAGCCAAATACATAATATACATCCCCAGACACTATTTAAAAAAATGTTCAATTTTTCAACCTTTGCTAAACCTTTACTTTTAAATTGCAAAAGCAGAGCCAATCTATCTTCAAATATTGTAGTTTTCTTCTTTGCTTTTAGCACTCTCCAGCTGCTCATTACTAAAATAATTAACTGTGTATGGATTTATACTATTATAGTTTTAAAAAACAACCAGAACCTTGAAGCTGACAGTACTATTTTATTGTTTTGCATTGACAACACACCATGTCTTTTTAAATTCTATTTATATTTTAAACATCATCATAAATGCCTCCTCTCATAACTGAATAGATTTATTGTGCACATTGTTTTCTTTGAAACTCTACTTTGCATTTTTCTAATGAACATACTGTAACAAACAAAACACTTTTCACATAGAGGATCCTATTCAGGAGCATAGTAAACAGGAAGCATCAGGAAATGATGTACCCACCCTACAACTCTTGAAAAAGAATATCTGTTTCAGAATACCAGGGACTTAAACTATAAGCTTTTACAATGAAGCCAGTGTTAAGTACCTTATCAAATATACAGCCACCTTTCTCATTCTGGAAACAACTGCTTTCAAGTATCCTCATATAGTATCCAATCCAGATAATTTTGATTAAACCTTAAGTAATCTTTAGTCAACAAATTTCTATGCTTGGAAGTGTGTGTCTTGCAATTAGTCAAGTTAGAAGACTCGTTTATCTCATCAAAACAGAGAGAGACATTCTCCAGAGTGTAACTGTTCTTTTGGAGCCTTTTCAGTTTCATACTGAAAACTCTAAGGAGTAGTAGACAGTTAATTCATGGCAGAAAAGTGATGTAATTTCCATCTCTTATTTACAGGTTTGCAGCCAATCTCATTTCAGGAGTGCTTGATTATAAAGCTTTATTGGATTCGTAAGTAGTTTGGAAATAGAATTACTGTCTGAATAAAAGCACAAAGAGCTCTTATTCTAGCAGGCTTTGAGGTGTTCAAAATCAACTACATTGGGCTGTTCTAATGTCTGGAACTGATGTGATTAGTGCATGGTAGCTCTGGCAACTTTTTACATACTTTTGCTTTATCATTACACTATGACGTGTGAGAGAGAGGGAAGGATTCTTCTTAAGGCATGCCAGTCATCTTTTTTTAAGATATAAAGTTCAATCTACAGTGCAACACAAAATCTGATTAAAGTAACTGTTCCAGACCTATGCAAACAAGTCCATGCCTTCCAACAATAGATCAATGAACAGCAGTAGAGCAGCAGTTTGCCAATCTTCCTACATATTATTTTAAAATGTCTAGTTTGAGAGACTTGCTCAGAATTACCAAATCATTCCCCATATGTCAGACATTTGTTTCTCTCCTATGGTTAACTCTTAGAAGACATCTTTATAGTCTTATAATAAATTCCATTGGAAAATATTCCATCACAGACCCCAGCTCCCCCTCAAAGTTCGACTGCTAGTATTAAATTAAAAAATATTAGTCCACTTTTGCTATTGTATGTAGAAGATACAGTCTTGGAAAAAAAATCTCCATCATTCCTTGATAAGTGTTCCATTAATAACAGTATTGTTCCACATATATACATATATATGGCATGTTTTACTATAAACAACATTTCAAAAGTACCACTGAAATGCATCCACCAAAGAAATTGATTTAGCAGATTTGTCATGTACATTGGCTTTTGTTGAGCGGGGGAGACAGAACATTTTTGTTGCTGGTCAGGAAGAACTCTTACAACATGCCAGCATTATTTGGCTGGAGAAGACAAAGCTAAGTCCTCAGTACTTGTGAACTGGATACAAGAAAATAAATTGGAAAGAGCGTATGATTTTTCACTTCAAAGGAGTTTGACAGCTCCTCAGAAACCTCCACCAGAGCTCAAGAACTTGTGCTATTGTCTGAGATCATATGTACAGTTCCATAGTATGCCTGAATATTTAAAAATACAAGCATTGACAAGTTATAATTTTGCATATTAATATAGTTCACTACATCTTTACATGACAGCATGGCATTCATCTGAGACAAGCTAAGAATGCACATTGCATAAGCAAGGGGTAACATTTTTTCCTTCATATTTTGACTCCTGGTCTAAAAAAGATTTATCTCAGTATTTGCTGCCTCAGATGAATAATAATTCTTTAGCCTTTTATCTATTATTTTGTACTACTGCTATCATCCTTTGGTTAACAAATATAATATTTCCTCATAATTATCATCCTTCTACTATCCCTTATTACACTGTTATAACTGCATGATAGTCAGTGTATTACTACCTTATTTTGGAACACCACACAAGTGAATGCAACATAGAAAACTGGCATGCAAAAACAGTTCATAACTTCACAAAGTATGTGGTTTCATACAATTGCTAAAGAAAGGATATTGAGACAAAAAACAAACAAAAAACTTCTCACCAAAGTATTATAAACAAATTCTTAGCTTAACACAGGAGTGGGCAAAATACAGCCCATGGGCCAAATCCAACCCATCAGGCCATTCTCTCCAGCCTGCAGGGCCCATGGAAAATTTAGAAAATTAATGATTATCTTCCTGTGGCTGCCTATCAAAGATGACAAGGCACCAGCAGCAGCAGGACCGAGGAGGAGCTGGTAGTAGACCCCAGCAGCAGCAGAAGCAAGGCCCGTCTGGTTCCTCCCCACCCCACCTCACCCCCAGCCCCCAACCAGAAGCTTCTGCTTAGAGGTTTCTGGCCTGGCGACCATGGGGCTATTCCCCTGCCCTCCCTCCATTCAGGAGTAGAAATTCAGATAAGAACGGATAGAGAGAAGTTGGGAGGGAGGATTGCCAGCACAGCAGGATCCTGGCCTGGTCCGGCCCAGCCCCCATGGTTCCTGGCTGGTTTGTGCTACACCATCTGGTACCAGCCTTGCAGCTGGGAACTGTGGCAGCCTGACCGGGCCAGGTCGGGCCTAGCTGGCTCCTGCTGCATCCTGCAGTCCTGGCCATGCAGCCAGGAACTGCATGCTGCGGAGTGGCAGGTGGGCTGGGGGTGGGAGGGAGTGGTGGCAGCAGGTGGGGAAGGAAGGGAAGTGGCAGGGAAAGGGCAGTGGTGGCAGGTGGGGTGGGGGAAGTGGCAGTGAGTGGGCAGATGGGAGCATGGGGTCCCAGGGCCAGCAGCAGCTAGCTGGGAACCACAGGGACCAGGCCTAGCTCCTGCTGTGTTCTGTGGTCCCAGCCATGCAGCTGGGAACTGTGCACTGCTGGGAGGTGCTCAGCTGGGCTGGCCAGCTCTGTGCCATGCCACAGGTCCTGGCTGCATGGCGCAGCATGGAGCTGGCCCAGGCCAGCCCAGTGGCACGCAGTTCCTGGCTGCAGTGGTGGGAATCATGTAGCACAGCACAGAGCCAGCTGGCCTGGCTCAGCAGTGCTCAATTCCTGAGCCATCAGGCTGGGACAGGATGGGCCGGGTTGGTTGTGCAGGTCCTAATGTTGCAGCAGGGAACTGTGCGCTGCAGGGCTAGGCCTGGTCGGCTCCATGCAGGTCCCAGCATTGCAGCCAGGACCCATGTGGCATGGCATGGAGCCAGAGGCTGGCCCTGTGCCACATGGTTCCCAGCTGTAACACAAGGACCCACATGGAGCCAACCTGGCCCAATGGCATGCCAGTACCAGGAGCTGTGGGGAGTCCCGCGCCATCAGGCTGGGCTGTCTCCATGCTTCCACATAGGGTTCCTGGCACCCTAGCTGTGAGCCCTACATGAAGGCACAGAGACAGAGTCCTGTGAGCCTCACGTTGCAGCTGGGAAACACATGGTTCCCTTCCCCACACCCGCACACACAGACACACACAGGCCCCCTCAAACCCCATACCCAAATACACACCCACAGTCCACATACACACACATCCACACATATACACCCACAGCAACACAAAAAAACCCCATACGCACACACCCATACCCTGCCATGTCCCTCCACATGCCCCCACAGCCCCCTCTATCTTACTAGTTCCCAGAGATAAGGACAGGCAATTCTGACCTGGGTTTCCAGTACCCATCATTTTCTTCCAGGTTATATATCTGTTTCAGTTGGTCTGCTGACTTTCATGCCAAATTTTTTTCAAGTCCCTTCTAAAAAAGCTCCCTACTCTCACCCCAGAGTCCTTAAAGTTCTTGGAAAAAAAGGAACAGGCATTATTCTGGAGAGGCAGTGGCTACATACTAAAAGATTCCAAAATAGATGAGGAAAAGTGCAAGTGTTCTGTATATTCATAGTATGTTTCAGCCATTGTTTTGCATGCCCTGCTATTGTTTCCATCTGCAGCACAATATCCACTGATGTAAATGTAGTTGCTTGATGAATGTGCATGAATCCACCAGGAATGATGCATTTTATTTTGGTATGGGAATTCATCCATTTTCTTCATACTGTAATCTTGTTTTATTATTCAATTTGTGTTGTACCTGATCTAATGGTAACAGAACAAAGGACAGATTAGATTTCTTTTCCTTTCTGTCTCTCCCTCTTTCTCCCTCTTCTCATTCTCCCACTTTCTCTGGCCTCTCCTCCCTGCCACCCCCTCTCTCTCCAGCCATGCTTTACCTGTTGATTTTGCTCGTGGACAACTCTCTGGTCAGCCTCTCTGTATGAAGCAATACTATGGACTCTTTTCTTCCTATCGTCTTCCAGGACATACCAAAGACACTCTTGTGGCCCAGAAAAGTAGTGTAATGCCAGAACCAGAGCACATCATTGTTGCTTGTAACAATCAGGTGAGTGGCATTTTGTTTGCATATCACTTCATAATTCCTTCATAAATCTGTTAAGCTTAATTGTTCAGTAACAAATCAAAGAACTCAATGAAAATACACAGATAATGGCACTGGCATCAGTCCTGAAACCCATGTACTCCCTTGCCCCCCCCCCCCCCCCCCCCCACCTCCGCATAACGCACTACCAGTATTTCAACAAAATATTCCCACTGTTTTAGCCTCCTTTACTGACATTATATTCCGAGTATGCAGATGCAATAAGAAAGGACATTTCACTTGTATACTTTTAAAGTTAGGGGAAAGAGTCCATGCAACACTGATTTCAAGTCACTGACATTAATGTAATATGGTTCACTCCAACAACAAAGGTTTGCTTTTTTTCAAGTGTTACAATGAATCACATTGGTCAGAATGTGGTAGAATTACTGTGGGAAATTCCTTAGGCTGTTTTTAAGAGCTGAGACCTGGGATATCACTAACATGCTTCCTGGTTTAAAATTGTCAGGTGTTTTAAATGTTATTCAAATAATCTGTACCTTATTTGACTCTCACATCAAATGTAAACCAGGAATAACTCCACATAAATGAATGGGGTTGCTCCTGGGGTAAAATCCCCAAAGCAGTAAACATAGTATCAAGTCCCATTGTTTTATGATTCCATTTCCCTTTGCTGTGTTATTCCCACTGTGCAAAACTACTGCACTTCCAAGGAATCCCAAATTAAGTAAGATTTTTGTTCATTAATGAGCTCAGTATAACTTTCTTGTAACCTTCCTGACTTTTATAATTTCCCTCCAGTTCTTTGTTTTGGATGTTGTCATTAATTTCCGCCGTCTTAGTGAGGGAGATCTGTTCACTCAGTTACGAAAGATAGTAAAAATGGCAGAGAATGAAGAAGAGAGGCTGCCTCCTATTGGTCTACTGACAACAGATGGAAGAACAGAATGGGCAGAAGCCAGGACAATCCTAATGAAAGGTTAGCAGCAGCAATCCCAACCTTCTCCTCATCTTCCTCCTAACCACTTCTTTTAGAGTGATCCACACAGCAAATACATGTGTATAATTTCAAGCTCTATTGTTGAATTCTTTTAGCAAAAGAAAGCTCAGTTCTTGTAAATGTTCAGATATTTTTTCATATGGTCAAGCAACAAATATGATTCTGAATCTTCTGCAGTATTCTAGGTGATGCATCATATAAGTCTCTATCATTACATACTACATCTTTATTTGATAAATTTTGAACATTTCATCAGGTTTTGTGATTTGTCTCTTTCTTCATGTTCAAAGTGTAATGATGAGTATAGCATTACCTTCTAGGCTTTAGAAAGTATTAGCTATTTTAACACTTGAAGCTTGAAAGAGTTCAACTTAAGCAAGGTGAAGAAAATTTCCCCATTCATCTTGCTATCTGGACAGTCCTAAATGTTAAGTCTTCACATTATGTCTGGTTCAGAGATACTATAAAGAACATACAGTATAACCTCACAAATCCATTTTACAAAATTCCAGAATTCTCAAAAGTCCGGCACTTTTTAAAAATACACTACATCAGGGGTTTTCAACCTTTTTTGAGCAGTGTACCCCAGGCAGCCATTCAGATAGTGGGGAGAGGGGAGTAGCAGTGGCCGCATGCAAAGCGGTGACATGGGGTGGTGGATGGCGGTGGCAGCTGCTGTGTGCAAGGTTTCCCCCCCACCCCTGACCCCGGGTCCAGCCGGCTGGGCAGTGCGAAGCTATGCACTTTCCTTATGTTTCAAAAATCCAGAATTTTCAAATTCTTGGCAGGTGCTAGGTCCCAAGGATGCCAGATTTATGAAGTTATGCTGTATTTATTTTACTTTACAAATGCAACGAATTCACAGAATGTATAGTTTCAACATATTCCCCTGAGAAGGATATTCTCTCTCTCTCTCTCCTCTCCCTCCTCTCTTTCTGTCTCTCTCTGCTCTCCAGAGCTGTCCCTAGGGGTGTGTGGGGCCTGGGGCATATCAGCCTGTGTGAGGCTGGGGGTGGCAAGCAGCTGGAGCATGGTGCAGGGGGGAGGGGGAAAGATGGTAAGTGGCCAGAGCATGGAGTGTGGGAGTGGGGGTGGCAAGCAGCCAGAGCTCAGAGTCTGTATGGCACTGTCCACAGAGCTCTCCAAAGCGTGGGACCTGGGGTGGTCACCCCAATTCACCCCTCCCCCCCAGGATGGCCCTGCTCTGCTCTCTCACTCTCTCTCCATAACCCTTTTCTAACAACAGCTTTTCATATACATATACACAACCCACTTTCCTCATCACAATCAAGTTAAAGAAATGGAATCTAATCATTATCTTTCCTGTTTGAGTGCATTATAACTTATGAGCAAGTAGTAACTTTTTGCTAATTCATGATAATATCAAGGATTGGTACATTCTCTGCATTTTTCAAGTCTTGTTGAAGAATTACTGAGCTCCTTTTTAGTAGCAATTTCCTCACTATGATTGAGAACGTCAACATGTGTAAATTAGAGTAGGTCCAGTGACTTCAAAAGATAATCAAGTAAATTACACCAACTTCTGGTTCTCACCAAGAATACTAGTATTTTGGATATTTCAGTGCTCTGGCAAGGTCCAAACAAAGTAATATTTGCCTGAGACATCATCATTCCTGAACTCAAGTAAATTTTAGCGCTGATACATTCTGGTGCATTGAATTTTTATCCACTTAGGATCCCCCAGGGACATGATCTTAAAGAGAATCATCACTGAGGAATACTGAAACCTAACTTCTCCTTGAGCATCTGTCATGTGAACATAGAACTGAAATATGCAGGAATTGTCAATCTACCACCATTCACAAACACTATCATTCACTAGTATTTAGGACCAGTGTCTGTTGCAAACTGTCCTGGGTTAGCACTTGCCAGCTTGCTGGAATGCCCATCTTGGTTCCAGTTTGATTCCCTGGGACTCTCATCCATTCCAGTCTGTTAATATTACTGAGTCAAGCTCTTGACTAGGAATTTAGTACTTTTCTTTGCTGAAGTGCTTATTTGCAGAGTTCTCTTTCATACTCTGCTTCTTCATTTCTCTAAATTTTTGACTGGTCCACCAAGGTTTTTATGATATGGCTGTAAATAAATTACTGCGTAAACATGGAAACTCCAAGAGATTTCAAAGAAAATTCTCCATTCTAGCTAGTAGCAAAGAAGGGGTCTCTAGAAAACAGGGGAAGGCGGGTGCAGGGAGGAGAGAGAGAATGAATATGAAACATTTCATTTATGGGCCAGTTTTTTAAATGATTTTGTGATGATATCCATCACTTTATCCAAGTGTTGGAACCTGGAGTGTCCCCGACAAAAAAAAAAAAAAAAAATCAGCCTCTGTGCCTGCGCATGCAATTTTATTCCTGCAAACTTTTTCAAGTGTTTTCACCTGCATGTTCAGGTGATAGATTCCAGCGTCTGCATGTGGAGGAATTGGAACAGAGATGCAAACCCATTTGGGCAAACAGGATTTTCACAGGTAAAGCCATCAACTGATACATGCAAGTGTTAGTCCATGTCATGCCCTCAAAGACAAAAAGTATGAGTCTTAGAATCTGTCCCCAGAAGTCAAAACCACCTCTTTTACTTTTCCATGTTGAATTTTACTGTCAGCTGTTGAATTAGTGCTGCCATAGGTTTCACTGAAGGAAAATATATCATGTAATTCAAGATACTACAGCATTTTTGGTATTCAAAATGTAGGGAATTCTATAGATACAATATGGAAATAAATATTATCTGTAAATTACTAATTGTATTTTGGAGCAGCCAACCTAATTTCAGAATTATTTAAAAAAATACTCCCTGCTTAAAGTTCACTGAAATTCTAGGCTCTGTTTCCTTCTATATGGGTATGTCTACACATAACGCTATGTTGTCACAGTGCTGTGCTATGGTGACATAGCGTCCTTGGGTGTCTACACATGACCAGCAGCTACTTTGCCATAGCAGCGTTCCTCCATTATAGCATGCCAGTACGGTGAAGTAGCTGCTAAAAATAACTGTGCCATGCATATGGTGCAGCATGGGTGGTTATTGTGCTGTGTGTTAGTACTTCCAAAAGAAAGTACTAAAGCATGGTGCAGTAACAACATCATCATAGGACAATGTGTAGAAGCACCCTATATGTTTAAAATTTATAGATAATTCTATGGTATCTAATAAGACACTGGAAAGACGGAAATATAGGTACCTGCAGCTCACTGAGAGGATAGTTAATTACTGTCAATTAAATGCAGAATTACTCTAATCAAATACTCAGCTTTTCATATTTTGTTTCCCATTCTACAGATCACTGAAATCCATGCAAACACTCAACCT